AGGTGCTAGTGAAGCATTGGGACAGGCTGCTTAGAGAAGTGGTGTAGTCTTCATCCTTGGACATTTTTGAGACCCAGCTGGACAAAGCCCTGAGGAATTCCAACTCAATGTTTCTCTAACAAGGAGGTCAACCCAGATGATCACACGAGTTCCTTTCCAATCTAAATGGTTCAGTGATTTTTTGGGTCATACACAGCTGCCTATAACTAGTTATAGGGTTACTCTTGGCACTAGTGATGGGTGAAACCATCCCAGTCTTGTCCATGGGTCAGACAAAGGGAAATGGGAGGCCCGAGATTATACTTTTTTTGTTGGAGGATGGATTTACAGGCAGGGCTGTTGGCTCCTGAAGTTCTGCAATGCAAATTTTACCTTTGAATCTAAATTAACTAATTCCAGAATAATTTCAGGTTCACAGTGATGAATCTGACGCAGTTTTAGAGCTCTGTTTCATGAATATAATTGCTTCCATTTTCTTCTAAACACTGGCATAGAAGGGACAAAACACTGTAACTAGTTTCTTCCCCTTCCCTGAAGACTCCAACATACCTATCTTAACAATTGTATTCATGGACTTTTATGTCACTGGTGCAGCGGCAAAAATGTACAGATGACTATTCCCTTACTCTTGCTTGAGTATTGTTGCTGTAACTCTTTCATTTCATTTATAACTTATTCCACTGATGTGTCTTAGAACAAACTGTTAGTGTATTTACATGTCCTGGGTGACAAAGCTCCAATGTGAAATAGTTGGTTTTCTAGTCTATGTTTATCATTGCTATGGTTATTTATTATTTATTCCCATCTCATCACCTTTTTACAGGCAATGAGTGTATAAAATTGCTGAGATTGATGTGTTCCTTGACTGTCCCCAAAGAAAACCCAGTCAAATAGCTATCTAGTTGAATAATGAAATATTCAAATGAATATGCAACAAGCATCCCTATTAAATGCTACCTCATTTTTTGTTCCTGTATTCAGAGAGGGAAGACATCCCCTGCTGAAAAAGATTCTTTATATTTTTTAGTATCTTGGAACTTTGTCACTGCTGGTAAATTTTGGGGGGATAGAGGATATTTCAATTCAAAATTGCAGAGAAAACAATAATCTAAACTTTTCATTTTTTCTACCTCGAAAGGAAAAGCAAAATCCTCAAATTATAAGGCTGCTTTCTCATGGACAGAAAATGAAGTATACATGTTTCTTTCGTCTATGAATTATTCCCCACTCAGATCTATCACACATTTCCTAACTTGGTTCTTGTTTATCTATGGCACTTATATTAACTCACGGTAATAAGGTTAATTTTGTCTTGTTTTAATATTCAATATGTTCATCTCACAATGACTCTACGAATTGAGAATTAGATTGCCCAAAATCACAAATGTGCCTGCAGTGGGAGTCAGATGTTTAAGTCAGTGACAGAGATGACTGTAGTTATGAAGCCACAGTTTATTCCATAGGGTAGAGTAGAAATGGAGGAACAATCCATCCATCCTCTGGAAGCTGTGCAGCTGTTTAGAAAATACTGTGAGTGGATCATGAAAAGCTCATCTGAGTCCTCTGTGCTTAAGCATATAATGCTTAAAGCTTGCTGTGTATTGGCCTCAGGTCTTAACTTCAGTGTGGATTCAACTGAGATGGGATAGCTCCAATAGACATTTTGTTTTTGTTTTTTGTTTTTGTTTGTCTGTTTTTGGTTTTGTTCTTGTTTTTTTTTGTTCTTTTTTTTGTTCTTATTTTTGTTTTTGTTTTGTTTTCATGCATGGTACCCTGTTTCTCCTCCCTTTGCTGGATTCTGTGGTTGCTTTCTCCCATCTCCTTATAGGTTACTCAGTCCCATTCTGTTGATCATCAGTAATGTGATGGCACTAATTAAATCTTTGTCCATCTTCTACCTCAATGTCTGGAGCCCCAAGCAACTCTGTTAGACTACAAATAAGCAATAGTACCATTTATTGTCTTGTCCCCTGGCCTTTCAGTCACTGATTATGAGAATTTCAAGAAAAGCACAATATTTTCCTCTGACCGGAAAAATTCTATGGAACAAGCAGAATTACTATATTCATAATTAACTCTTTATTTAACTTTGATGAAAAAACAAAAAAACAAACAAACAAACAAACAAACAAAAAAAAAAAACAACAAACAAACAACAATAAAACTCAACTAACCAAGAAAAAAGAAAAGGGAAAATAAAAACTCACAAAACAACCCACATTCTGATGGCCTACAATATTACTATCTCATTTAAAAGATTTCACTTAAGAATTTAGAAGTTTTGCTGTAAAAAAAAGAACAACACTCTGCCCATCACAGTGCAGAGGACACCAGTAACAGTCCACTGTCATATCCAGATTGGATGACAGTTGTTTTTATCTTCTCAAACAAAGTCATAGAAAATTCAAGGAGAAATTCTTAACCATAATGTGTGAAATCGAACCAATATTTTTTTTACATATATAAAGCCACAGCCAAGTCTAAGCAAACCAAAATATGAAAATATCTCTGGCACCACCTACAGAAGTAATTCAGTATTAGCTTTTGAAGTTTTCAGTGGGGAAAAAAAAAAAAAAAAAAAAGGAACCATGAAAGAGAAATGAAGAGGAATAAAAAGTAGATACATTTGTGACAACACAAAGAACTTCAGTAACTAGAATTAAATGGATGCTCAGCTTTCTACTGATGAAATGCTGTTTATTAATAGCTGCTGTGCTTCCCATGCAACTTATTCAAACACCAAAGTGTGCTTACATGTTTGTGAGTGGTCTGCAGGAAATGAAAAGTGACAAGATAGAATCTGTGATGTGTGGAAATCAGTTTTTACTATGAAGATCTTATTCCCTAGTGCTGGAAGACTATGTATATAGATTAAACATATTTTCACAGCTGGATTTTTGAATAGAGCTTCATTAAACCGGGATAAATATACACTATATTGGTGTGTATGTGTGTGCGTGTGTGTGTGTGTGTGTTTTTTCTCATCAGCAACAAGACTGCTTTGGTACAGAAGAATGCTGTTTCATTATATCCAATCCAGCTGTGCTCTTCTACCAAAGCCCTAGCATTTTCCAAATGTAAAATTTAGCACTTGCTCACGACAACAGTAAGTTGGTGAAGTTGATTGAATGGAATATAATACGGGTGTCTAGATAGGGTATGTGAAGATTTTGAAAACGGAGAGAGAATTTTGTCTACAAATATTTTTTCTCCACTACTCCACTGTGGTTGCACAACATTTATTTTATTTTATTTTATTTTTAGCTAAGTGTGTTGTGGTTATTAACATTAAAAAAAAAAAAGGAGAGGAGAGGAGAGGAGAGGAGAGGAGAGGAGAGGAGAGGAGAGGAGAGGAGAGGAGAGGAGAGGAGAGGAGAGGAGAGGAGAGGAGAGGAGAGGAGAGGAGAGGAGAGGAGAGGAGAGGAGAGGAGAGGAGAGGAGAGGAGAGGAGAGGAGAGGAGAGGAGAGGAGAGGAGAGGAGAGGAGAGGAGAGGAGAGGAGAGGAGAGGAGAGGAGAGGAGAGGAGAGGAGAGGAGAGGAGAGGAGAGGAGAGGAGAGGAGAGGAGAGGAGGGACATAGCAGCAGAAAACTCCACAAAGTATCTTTATGGATGTTTATAAAGGTACACAAACAGCATTGTACATCCCTAATATTGTTTCAATTTGGTGCTCAGACATCTATAATGAAATTATTTCCCATTAAGTGATCTTAAAGCCTCAGTAAGGGCCTGTGCTTAAGCATGGGCTTAGATAGTGTTTAAGAAAGAAACAAACAAAAACTTAAAAACATGAGCTCTCTGATGTTAAAGACAAAATATCTGTTGAATTTCATCAGGGCCAAATTTCATTTGTGGACTTATTAGAGGTAAAGCAGGTACTTGAATGCCTTCCAGATTTAGGTCTGTGGCACAGCTGGGGGCAGTGTATACCCATTGGGATCTGCAGTCTTAAAGGAGCCAGTTGTTGAGCTAGATGTGTGGAAAGCAGCGAGGGCAATGCTGGCAGACTAGCATGGCTGGCTGTTAGGGCTGTTTTACCCTTAAAACAAGTCATGTTTAGCTATACCAAGTATGCAGAACTTCTGTGCTTCTCCCTGGGCATTTAAAGAAGCAAGGTGGTCATATACTTATGGAGCAAGCAGCTTCGTGAGAACCTTTATTTTTCATGATGTTTTGTAATTTGCCAGCAAATATATTTTTCCCAGAAGTTACTATGTAGTCTCCAGGTAGGCATCAGATACAAGAAAATTGTTGTATATATTCATATTTGTGTTCTTCACAATATATGATAGGTATATAAAATGTCTATAAACATTCTCTATTGATATTCATTATTGAAAGTAGCTCCCTGATGAAACTACTTCAACTGATTGCACTGATGTAGCTCAGAGGGAAACTAGACTGAAGATTGATTTGACATCATTGCATTTCCTTATAAAAATTCATTTATTTTTTTTTACCTAAAATAAGTTACATTTCATTACATTTTGAAATGTATGAGTAAATATTTAACTTGAGATTGTTATGATCCCATTAAAATAAGTCTTTTCCTGTTGTAAGAGTAATGATTCACTCTTCACAAGTGAGCTTTACTTCACATAGACCATTGACGTTAAATGCTAATCCTTCAGCCAAATCATAAGTAGAATGATTTTCTTCTTGAGTTGCAATATAAAATCCAGTAAACAAACCATTTAATCTTTGTAGGAATCTCACAAATATCATTTACCAGTGAGCCCAAGTCCCCTACTCTCAGAGAAGGCATTGGAGAATATATAATTGCAATGCAAAAATCCATGCTTGCTCCCAATGGATAAAATAGCTACATCTATGCATTATTCTATTCAAACTATTTGATCCTGTTAGATATTTGGTTACGCTGTAGATAGTGTCTTTATCATTGAGGATATGGCCTAAGAAAGTAATGCACATTCTTCTGCACATGTTTTCTGCCTCAATGGGCAACTCCGTCCTTTTTTTTTTTTTTTTTTTTTTTTAATCCAGGATGTTACTTTCACATGCAAATAAAGAGAAAGTTTTTAAAGCAGAGTTCTTTTCACCTGAGTCACCTATCCTTCTAGTGATTCAATGCTCTACCTGAGAGAGTTCTCTATCATCAAAACCAGAGGTGAGTTTCTTCAGAGCCCTTCAGCATATACTATGTCAGATATTTAAGAGAGTTTTTAATTGCTTTTCTGGTGATTATCAAGCTTTCTTGACCTGCTTATACAGAGAGCATAAACTAAGGCTATAAGTGTATTAGATGGATCAAGTTGAACCCTGCCTCGATTATAGAGAAGATGAAAGAGGTGATGGACTGCAGAGTGATATCCAAGTACCAGCTACTTTCCATCTTATGGAAGCAAGGGTGGAAAAGGAAAGGAACAACAACCTTGTTTACAAAACAGGTTGTTCCACACTGCAATGTGTGATATGCTTCCCAAAAGGAAAGCACTGTGCTTTTATTCACCCTATGGGAAAACAGCTGAGTACCAGTGACATGAGGATGTATCCTGCTATTACAAAACCAAACAAGCAAAACAATGACAATGACTAAGACAACACAAAACCTGTGAAATTACTATACCTGAATAACGACCATGGGAAAAAAAAAATCACTTTTATATTTTTGGGTTATTCATTTGTACATTTGATAGCACTTTTGATATTGTCATTTTCACTTTCTTCTCTAAATTATCAGCTTTTCTCTTTCCTTGAAGAACAGAAATTTATGCCTATCAGGCTTTGGTTTCTTTTATTTCATTTCTTTTAACTGATCATATTTCATGCTCACGGCATTTCCACTAACACATTACAGTCAAGAACAGGGAGGAAGAGCTGTATCTATTGTCTCTTATATTAGGAGTACAAGATTTGTATCCTATTTTATTTTCCTAATCTACTTTTTATTATTTCCATGACAACTGTCATGGTCCTATGTCAGTAAGCTTATTCTGGATTTATTCATTGTATTTAAACTCAAAATCAGAAACTGCCACTATAACAAAATTTTCTCTCTTAATGGAACATTTCTGTGAAGAATAAGTCAGTTTTGCGTTCTGTGTGGGTTCCATACAACTAATTTGAGATTCCAATTCATATGGGCCACATAGAAAGTTTTGTTATTAGAACTGTTCATTAACGTTTTCCCTCGGGTGAGAAGATGATGCTAAATTGATTATTTAGCAATAAGAAGTCTGTCAGTCACAACTCTGTCTCCAGCCTTCCATTTACTAGGTGTTTATTTGGGAGGCTATGGAAAACCATTTTCATTTAAACTGTTTTCCTCTGAATTCGTGGAATTGCTATAAATGTCACTACAAGAAAGAAGTGCTCTTATAATGTTGACTGAGTAGATTTTTGGCAGAATTCTTACCAACCCTGCACACTATCAATGACTGTTGATTTTTAATCTTCTTTAGAGATCAGGTAAGGGTTGGGAAGATCGTTTTCTTTTTCCCTGTTCTATTGTTTGGATGCAAGTGGTTCCAACAATGCTGTTGTCATGGTAGTGCTTCTTGCAAAATCATGTTTTTGTTTTAGGAGGCAGCTGCATTTTTTTTTTTCTTCCTTTGGAGTCCTTATAGTGTATTACAGCCCTCTAACAATAATAATAATAATAATAAAATATTAAAAAAAAAAATCACAAGTATTGGGCAAATTTCCCTTGAAGAATTAGCAATGAGAGCAAAAAATTAGCAAAAAAAATTTGTAAGATGCCACAATCTGTGAATATGATGACTCACATCTCAACAAAGAAGCTGAATGAATATAGCAATAATATCCAAGAGTTAGTATTCCACTAACCTCATGCCACTGACTCACTGCTTGATTAGATGTAGCACACAACAGCTCCAGTGAATAGAGCAGCAGCCTTCAAGTATAGATTGCAAGGCTCTTATCAAAGACCATCAGAAATCTCTAGAAGGTAGTCGATCTTTCCTGCAGATCCCACTGTCACCTCCATGCCATTTTCCAGCATCAATATTTGCTAGAGCTTCCAATAAATAAGTATAATAGGTGGATGTGTTAATATCACTCTTACAAGTTTAAGCCACAACTACCTGTAGTTAGAATTAGAAAGAATTATGGTTTTCAGTAGTTTGTGAATTAAGCACTTCTTTGAACCTTAAAATACACATATGCATGCATGTGATTAAATATAAATGTATTTAAAATAATTTCAGAATTAGAAGAGACTGGAAGTACAGTAAATCAGAATCCTGAAGCTGAAAACCAGTAAATTTCATAAAGGAATAATTTAATTCTGTATCATCTTGAAGTTTGCAAAATTACCTTGTGTAGAATAGACAAAACATGTTTATTTACATAGTCTGACATTTACTTTGAGTCTTTATTGCTAATAAAAATTAATCAGAGTGCTCTTAATCTCCTTAAGAGTGAAATGGCATACCATCCCAAATCAAAAGACCCTGGAAACAAATAGCGATTTTATTTCAGACATTAAAATACTGTGATGTTTCTATTATGATGAAAGTATATAACAGGTTCTAATAAACCATCTGGAAAATCTTGCCAAAATAAGATAACTTTCTAGAAAGGTTTTTCTAGAAATTTTACTTTCTAGAAACTTTCTAGAAATTTTAGGCCTGTTTTAACTCCAATGTGGAGAACGGTTTGCTCACTTCCTTTCATCAGCAGTCTTTCATAGATCTGAAGTGTATTTTCATGTCTTGCTTCAGACAAATCCTTTTCAGCAACTCCTCCTCATCTTTCATGAAGATCAGAGCCCCAGGCTTGCACAAACTCCAAGTCAAAAAACAGTTTTTAAAAGGGAGGAAAAACAATTTTATGTCATACAGGCTATCACTCCCTTTACATGCTACTGGCTGTTGTTCATCTGTAGCTCTAGAGAACAATATCACTGGGTCTATTCATTGTCTTGGCCACTGTAATATCTAAATATTTCATTTACAAAACTGCTAGCTCACCAGTTGCTCCCATTCTGTATTCCTGTACTAGACTATATTAATGAATCTTCCACTTGACTTTCTTAAATATCATAGTGATTTAAGACTATTTTTCTAGTTTGCCAAGATCATTTTGAATTCTATTTGTCTTTCAACATATGTGCAGTCCCTGACTTATTGAACACCATTGTCAGCTGTATTCTCACTATTTATTTGAGAATTGTTTCAAATCTTTGATATAATAATTCTTTTTCTTACTATTACAAAATGAAAGTGACAGAATGTTGCTGATTCTGTTGCCCCCTGAAGCAGTTCAGTAATTCTGAACTACAAATCTGTAGTATTCACAAAATGAACACTCATAAAATACTCATACTTTATTAATAGGACTAATGGACTAATAAACCCACAATAAAATCCTGGGCACACAAGGAAATGCAAAAATGTTCTGTGAGCAGTATGAATAGTATTAAAATAGTCTAGAAGACTGTGTAAATAACTGATTTTTAATATTGCTTGATACAATAAAATTTCATTTTCTTCTTATGGGAAAAAATAAACATTTTTTTTTTCCCCAGTCAAATAAAATGCCTGCTGGAACTGAATAAAAACATTTAATTTGTGAGCTTTGTGTTTGTTCTTCTTGGGATTTATTTGTTTTTCCTGTCATTCAGAAAGGAACAGTAAGAAAATATAACTAAAATACGACTTATTTTAAATTAATATTTTTGCCTTGTTTTATCTTTTTTCTTTTTTTCTTTTTTTCCTTTACTTTACGAAATTATTGAAGATGTACATGTACTTCAGAACTCCAAAAAAAGAAATCTTACAAAGAGAGGGTTAAACACAGGAATAAGTTCCATGAAGATATTGTGAAATTTCCATCCTTAGAAATTCTCAAATCTTAACTAGAAAAGGCCCAGAGCAGACAGATCTAATTTTGATCTAATCCCACTGTGAGCAGGGGTTTAATTACATAACATCCAGAGAGTCCTTCCAATCTATATTTTTCTGTGATTGTGCCTAAATTAAATAAAAGACGTATATTAAAACTGGAAAATGATAGTAATTTTCCTACTTAGTAAATGTAAATATCCATTGCTTCTTCCAGAATTAATAAGCTAGTAGTGCTCAGGGTGTTTGTTAGCACAAAAATAGATACGTTTATTAGGTCAAGGCTGGACGATCAGGCTGGATTACTCAAACATCTTGAAAGCTGAGGAGATGACTCTAATTTTTTGTGGGAAGTTTCATCACTGCATCTCTGAATGTCAGTGACTCTCTCATTGGCTCTTGATCTCCATCAATACTTTTCTTCCAGAGCATTCAGGTGCCAGTTCAAGGACAGAACTGGATTTGCTAGATGTGAATAGGAGTTGTAGAGCAGGAGTGAGGGCCACCAAAAAAGTAGAACCTGCCAGTGTCCCTCTGTCACTGAGCTGTGCGGAGAAGACCTGCCTCCTGCTTTGAAATGGGGCTCAGGGCTGTGGGGGAGTACCCTGGCGGCTGGAAAGGGACAGTCAGGGCTGGAGGCACCCTAACAGCCTGGACTCTGACATCTAGGCCAAAAGCCCTGTCCATGAGTGGGTCGATCTCACCCCAGGTTGTGATAGATGGCAGGACAAGTGGTTCCTTGGCACAACTGACAAGGAAACTCAGCCCAAGGCCTAGTCCTGAGGGAAGCTGTGTGTGTGTGCAGACCATGTGTTTTTCCTTCCTCCGTCTGAGGCGACCATTCAGACCCAGTGGGCCTTGCCCTTTCAAATACTGTGCAGCATGAAATCAACACATGGCAGTGCAGAAGGTGAAGGTTCAGCTTTGTGGTGTGAAAACACCATGCTGGTGGGCTGTGACAGAGCCTTGTCATTGATTCAAGTGCGGTCAATGAAACAGATACAGAAGTACAAGCATGTCTCAGATGTACTCCGTGGTTGCCAGCAGGGAATGCAGTGTGACATGCAGTTGTATTACCTGAGGTAGGACCATACAAGTGCCACTTGCTGGGCTGTCAGAGGCATTCTGCCTGTGACTATGCTCTCATGCTCCCAACAAGGGCTGGCAGTCTTGTCACAGCCTTTCTTCTGCTGGATTGTCTCGGCATACAATTATTTTTTAAACAGCTCCAGGCGTCATTATTTCTGGCTTCTGCAGTTTGATAGATGCTGCCACTAAGGTTTTGATCTTCACTAAGACCTTATTCTTCAACTGCTGATCCTAATAAACCTCTGCGTGCTATGGTATAAGAGCCTACAAGTAAAGAGTACAGCTCTGTTGAACCTGTTTTATTAATTTCTTTTAATTCAAAGTTCTTTCACTTTTTAATGACTTTGCTGTTAACTCAGCTGCCTGTGCCAAATAGGAAACTGAGAATAGGTTCTTGGAAGAGTATATCCAAGAGCATTGCCCTTCTTTAATTGCAAGGCATCGTCTTGCCCAGATCATTATACCTGGGATTTACGAGACTGAAAATATCCTGGCAAAACTTTTATAGTAGAAAGACTTTTAAATCTCCTACCTTCTGCCTTCCCTCTGCAACCAGCCATCCTGTTTGAGAGACTCAATTATCCATATAAGTATTAACCTATGAGAAAAAGATCAAATAAATAAATAAATATTTAAATATTTTAAATAGTTTGTCCAGAATTGTCTGTGGAATAACCTGCATTCAAGCTCCAGAGTGCCAAGATTTTAAAGAGTTCAAATTCAGTGACTAGAGCCATTTTCATTTTGCTCAGGGATGGTACTACAGTTAACACTTGATCTGCCAGCTTTTATGGAGTTAAAAAATGTTAGAGTTAAAATCTAGGACGAAAAAACACAGAGGGCAACACAAAGAATATAACAACCCTTTTTCTTTTTTTTTTTTTTTTTTACATCTTTCTTCCAAAGTGTGTCGGTATTTCCTGATTGAGTCTATCTCATTATACATAGCAGCCTCTCTGTTTTCCAGCTACTTAACCAAAACTGACTATGGTGTGTTATTCCCGGGATGTCAGGAGAGGTGATACTTCCATAGATTTACTACCTGGAAGAGTTATTTGATTACTCCCCAGTGACTTTAGTTTCTAGAGGAAATGTTTTTTTAAGCACAGATACAGAAAACATTTAGAGCCTTGCAACAATATTAATGTTTCATTCATTCACTGTATTGGTCATGTTAATAAACACAGTTGTCTTTACAATGTGCATGCTTCCAAAATGCTCCAAAGCACCACCTTTCTCAGGCTACTCCAAGGTGACAAGCAGAACTCATTCACAACTTGCATGTGTTCTTACATACTCTAATTCTCTATAGGAAGAGAGGTTGCATGTATTAGATCCTGTTTGCTATGTGGCATTGTTGAAAAAGATGTAAATTAAATTTTATTAATACATTAATTAACGTTAATTATATTTAAATTAGCACATTCTACCTGTACAGTTCATATTCTTCACACTTGGTATGTTTTGCTTTCATTTATACAGTTTGTCTAATTATAAACTTTCAGCTGATCCCCATTATATTGTGAGAACTGTTGAAAACTCATGGCACATTTTGCAGCTCAAGTAAATGTCAGGAGTGGAAGTCTGGATACACTGAAGCAAATGGAGAATCCAGGTCAATAAGACCAGATTACACTCAAGAAAACTCTTCCTTCTCTTCTTTTATGCATTTTCTCTACAGTAGCCGCTCTGAGAAGATGAACAGCTTGCTCAACAGCAAGATCAGAATTCTGAAACAGCTCATCAGATGCTTCATGTTTCTGTGCTTTATTCTGGCTTTTGATCCCTGATCATATGCTCTGCATACATGCAAGACAGGAAGAGACATCAAGAAGTATAGATACTGACAAATGTTGTTCAAATCAGCAAGCTATGACATGTCAATTCACATACACAGACACACAGACACACACAAGATATGCTACAAATAGAGCTGATCACAAAGAGATACTGATGCATAACATAAAGAAAGGTAATACGACAAGATTTTGTTTCCATTTTCAGGGAATTTTTGCTTTCTTACAGGATAACTATCAGTTCCAGCTCCTAGGACCTACATGTATGTATTTCTCCCAATAAGACTACTGTATATGAGAAATAATAATGTGTGTGCTCAGTGAAATTAGTTGTAGAGTAATGGTGCCCTTAAAAGGTCAGGAGTATGAGTTTTTCAGAACAGTAAAGCTTGACAGGTCAATAGCAACAAAATCATAACCTTTTAATGCATATTGTCAGGAGCTGACTGGTCAAATTACACCAATAGGAAACAATGCAAAAGAAATTGTTTTCTGTATCTGAAAACAAAGCAAAACAGAACAACAACAAAACACACTTTTCAATTACAGAGAGGTATTACCAGTAACTAATGAGACTTCATTATATGAAAATAGAAAGTGAGGGAAAATCTCAATTTGATTTTCCAACATTCATATTTTAAATGTGTATATTATTCTTTACTTGTGCTGGTAGTAATGGAGCCACTGTCCAGATATCATTTTAGCATGACCCTTCAGGCTAGCCAGGCCTGAACCATGATTCAAAGAAGGATTAAAAGAGCTAGGCAGATTCATTAATCTGGGGAAGAATCTGAACACTGAAAAAGAGATATATTAAGTGGGATGCTGTTCTTTCTTTTCACTGTGGTTCCTTTAAACTGGTCAGGGGGATGCATTCCTGTACAGAAGTGTACTTCCTATACTTCCTGTCAGAAATGACATGAGATTTTCTGTAAATTAAAGTCCTCTTTAAAACACGAGAATCGGGGAACCTACACATAAAGGCAGGATCTCTAGTGTCTAATGTATTGGATACACATATTTTAAGCATATGTTTTCAGTATAAAGAAATCCAAACACTGGATCAGTAGTAATAATCTCCCATTAGAATCCACAATAAACTCATTTATTCCTACTACAAATATTGATTTATGAACAACTCACAAACATAATTTCAGTACTTACCCAGTGCTAACATCCAGAAGGGCTGATTTGCTATTTTTGAGCAATTGCCAAACTTCTTAATTCCTGTTAGCTCTAGGAATTTTAGAAATATGTAATCACAAATCCAGGAAATCCAATACACATATGATCAATCTGAACTTTATCCACTTGCATAAGCTTCTACATTTTAGACAGAATGCATTTCCACTAAAAAAAAAAAGTAATAAATGAAACATTATACTGGAAGTATAAAAATATTGTCTTGGATAATTAAAACAAAATGTCCTAAAAAAGACAAAGGTTTCCTAAAGCTGGCACAGACTTATTTGAATAATGCCCTGCAATAGAAAGGTTAAATGTGTACATCAGTTATATATAATTAATATCATACAATACTGCTTCATGCTGCTTTTCCTGCATCTGTCTCTAAAAGATCATGACATGTTGAAGTGAGCAAAATGGATGTGTTTATCTAAACCTGACAGCAATATGTAGTACAGATGACAGCTCTTTGAAGATTACACAAAAATGCAAAAAGGAGATATACTTCATAGAGATCCAGAAGGAATACAGATTTGCTAAAAAGTGGTTTGTAAAAATATGGTTTGTTAAAAAGAGAAAAAATATGAAACCTGCAGCATATTTTTTGAGTTCTGCATAACAGTTTTGCCTAGATATATTTCTTTACAATTTTTTTTTTGCAAGGCAACATTGAGCTAGCAGTTGAGTTGTGTTGTTAACTGTTAGGTGATTGTTAATTTTAGAATTGACCAGAAAATCTTTAAACCTTATGGCCAATAACTTGCATGCCAAGGAAACAATTTTCTGTAAATGCTTTAGAGGTGTTAGCTAGAAAACAGTGTTTATACTGTCTAATAGTAGTAACCTAGGGTTAAGTGTCATATAGAAGAAGTCTGGTTTTATTTTACATTTAAAGCTGATTTTGGCAGAAAGGCAAAATTGGAAACACCAAATATAAATGAGGTATTTATGACACCACTGTAATCAGGATGTCTCAATGCAATGAAATTAAGTATGGCAAAGTGGTTATCCAATAACCACACAAATAAAATTAAATTAAAGGAAAAACCATTAAACAGTTACCCTAGTCAATTTTTAAAGAATAAACAGTTAGAAGTCAAGATCTAAATCACATTTTTAATTTCTTATTAAGCATTAACAGATAATACTAAATATTAAAATGTCAGCTGTGATATATATATAATTAATTGACAAAGCATGTTTAAACTTACAGCTGTTAGTAACCTATCATTAGTGGTAAAATAGAAAAATAATTCAGATTACTTTTTTCAGTCATGGTTAACATCTTTGTAACATACAGTGACTTAGAACTTATTTAATTTGATAGTGTTGTGTGTTTCTTTGCTTCAAGATAGGTTGGATGTTAACTAGAACTCTCAAGGAAAGGGCAAGTGACACAAGTTTCTCATCCTAATGGTCACCTGGAGATGGAGAGCACCAGTTACCAGTTTTCTGGTAACTGAGCAAAGCAGCTTCCTCACCTTTCTATTTCTCTCAACAGAACTTGTACATCCTTAAGCTTGGTATGTGTTGTCTTTGCCATAGAATTTGTGTGTCCTTTGTAAGAGGAAATAATGTTTACTTGTTTTCATAAGATGTTTTCAAGGTCAGTCAAGGAGAGTCATGTACAAAAGCAAAGCATTAGGATTTAATAAAGTTTTGGTAAAAATAAACCATGATCAGTTATAGAGTAACAGTACTCAGGCAGCTCACCAGTCATTTTCACAGCTTGCTTAAGCAAAGATGAATGGTGTATTGACAGTAGTGAGATATTTTAGCACCCTTTCTCAATGCACACTCTTCCAGCACTTGATGCTCACCAGGCATCCATACACTGTTGGAGAGCAAGTCCTCCTCCTGGCTAGCAGCAAGGGCAAGAGCAGTATCTGATGTGACCTGAAGATGTTTCGTTCTGTGCTGTACCACCTTAAAGAATATCCTGGAACAAGTGTCTTTTTTACCCTGCTTTCAGTGGTGCTGCATTTCATGGTGTCTCCATGACTTCACCTGTCATCTCGTTTCAAGATATTTAATTCACTGCCTTTCCTCACTTTAGAGCCAAATAATTTGTTTGTATTTCTAACACGACTTAAGGTGAAACTTCAGATAACTACTTTTGTATCATGCTTCCTTTCAATTCAAAGAGCAAACAAAACTGGTTATTATTAGAGATTGCTAAAATGAAGCAAAAAGTTACCTGAATCTTATTTTCAGAAATGGGGGAGTTAGGGGTGTAGGTGAGGGCAGAGGAAAAAGGGGGGAAATGGATATATTGTAAGAGAACAGATGGGGGATGTCTTATGCTTCAGTGATGTTGGTGCTCAGTTCAATACCCTAAGGAATGGTTCCCAAGACAATCACAGCTGAAGGCTTTGTCAGATTTTGCTCTCAGACTGTAAGAGAATTTGAGGTCTAACTTTGATTTAAAAGCTGGGAGTTGAACTGCCATATTTTTAATAATTGAAGGAAATTGGAACTTTCAAAGCAATGCGAGCAAAGGTTCCCACATTTAAAAAAAAAAAAAAAAAAAAAAGGATTCTCATGTTCTCATGTTGATTTTCCAATTTAAAACTGTTAAAAAAAATGTTTTCTTCTGCCTTTGGATATAACATCACTGTTTATGCAATTCTAAGAGGCAAAATTATAAAGAATATCCTAAAATAGTGGATTTATTTTTCTTGTTTTTTGTTTTTTAATAACCTAGTTAATTTCAGACATAATTTTGGTTGGGCAAAGTAGCTCAGAATTTGACGCTATTATATAATTAAAAGAAAATTCCGAACTTTAAATGTTTTCCCATTTTTCATGTTAACTTAACCGACAAGATCTTTGCCTGAATTTCAGGAAAAAATACAGTTGGACTGACAGTAACAGTAACACAGCAAAACATCCAACATCGATGGGCATTCAGTGAGGCCTGTTCATTAAGTCTTAATTTATGCTCTCATGGTAAAAATTTCAGGTATCAGGAATATTGACACTGACCAGCAGTGAAGTATTTAATAATGCAAAGTAAATAACGTACTGGGACATTATGGTATTGTCTCATACTCTGTATAATTTAAGTTTGCAGTTTTGTCGTATGCTAAAGTAATCAATCCCACTGGCAATATAAATGTCAAGTACTATATATTAAGGTTAATGCAAATTTTCCCTCTTGCACCATGAAAAAAATATTCTATAAACCTGGAGAAAAGCCACATAAAATACTAAAATGTTTTCAACAGTTAGGCAGGAAAAAGCTGTCAACAACAGGAAGAATAATGATCATTTAAGCTGTTACAAAAAAGATTACCAACAGCCTTTCCTTGACATACACATGTGGTTAAAAGTTAATTTTACTGTACATATTGAATGTCATTATTTTACAAATTCCCATGCATGTGAATAATCAGGCAAGAAAGAGGTTTATTTAAGAAAATTATGCATATATATAAGGTTTTGCTGTACCATATTTGTTTCTTGAAAGTTGTATTGCAATCTTTTTTTAAAAATAGTAGAGCTTAAACATTGAATTGTTCCTACTCTATCTTTTGACCTGTTGTTTCAAAGATTTCTTGTTATTAGCCTAAATATCACAAATCTTTAAAGTAATGTTATTAATTTCTAAGTATATTTTCCAGTGAGTTCACTTTCCACTTCTCTAGTTTCCCAATTAAGACTGTCTACCTATTTCCAGTGTTATTGATAAATAATAACTGAAGACTTATTCTAGTGTTCCTAAATGTATTTCCAATATATATATATATATATATATTATTTTTATTTGTAGTCAAGGCAAAAATGTATTTTGAGAGTATTTTGATAGCTAGATGGTTCACCAAGGTTGGAGAAAACCAACAGGCATGACTGCAAGTGCAGCTTTTCACACCACGTTAGAATTTGAACCAGGTTTCCTCATTGCTTAATAACTCGGCTCTCTCTCCTGGGTTAAAGTGGCCCTTAACAGGAGATAGATGTTCCTGGATGCTGTTGTTACTAAGGAGCTGTTGATAAGGGCACTGTACTGGTGTGAGTCTAATCCAGGTCAGAATTGTGATTTTGAGTTGTGAATTCCTTTCTAAATAAAGGTCCCATTCATTGACCTATTAGTTATCATGAGTGATTTACTAGTTCCAGCCTAAACTTGAGAAACATCTACCAACAGAAATGTTACTGAAAACAGCTCATTCCTGCATCCACAACCCAACCTAAACAACAACAAATCCCGTAACAAAACTAACAAACAAAACCTTGTTTTAATCAATTACTGATAATATGCTATGTGAAAAAAATCCCTTTCACCCCCACTGAGGAGGACAAGAATGTAGACACAGTCTTTGTTCACATTGAATTTGTCAAGCTATAAGATGTCAGAATGGCATCTATCCTTTTAACCCCCCTATCCTTTTAACCAGGGACCAGACAATGAAGGTATCTGAAACATGGTATCAGATACCACGCACAGTGCAAAATCTCACACTTATTTTGCTTTTAGCAAACTAAAAGTTTAGCAAGCACTGAAGAACTTCATGCAAATTAGTATTGTAGTTATTATAAGTCCTAATACTTAAACAAAACAAAACAAAAAAACCTTACCTAAGAAAAGTGCATCAATGGCTACCTAATACAAATGTTCTTACCAGGATGTTCCACAGCTAAAATCACCAGGTGGTGGTGGTGGCTGCTGGAGTCAGATTTTTTTGTTCTTGCACACTTCACTAAGTAACTGCTATTGGCAAGTCAGAGACAAGACAAGAATGGATTTGATCGGATCCAGCACAATTATTTTTTGTGTTTTTCCTGTTATCTCTCAGTACAGTAAGATCATGTTCTGTCCTTAAAAAATGGCAATTTTTACCTTTCTGAAAAGCTAGGAAATATAACAAAAAAAACAAGCAGTATTCTAACATCAAACTATGAACACTGTTTTTACAGTCTGAGCGTTGACCTCTCCACAGTATGCAAGTCTTTCAAATACATTTCTATTTGAAGAGAACAGCCATAAACTGCAACAAAGGGAACAGCTAATCACTTCTACAAACTTGGGTGGCAGGATATAAAACCTTGAGGTGATCTCAACATCAGCAATGGAGAACAACATGTGAGGTTACTAAATTGCTTCCTCTGCTTCACTAAGAAGGCCCTCTCCTGTTTCCCTGTTTTTTTAGTTTGATAGGAGCTTTAGGGCAGAAGCAGAACCATCAGCCCCTGGGAGATGGTGGAGCTCCCTGCTGTGACAACATCTATACAAATGCCAAGCTACATCCACTTTCCTAAGCTGCAAACAGCTATTAACAGTTTGAGGAAAATACAATGATGTCTCCTACTCAAAAGCTGGATGTATTCTGTCCAGCATCAGTTCACGGATATTACTTTTCATTAATGTGGATGATTATTCCATTTTCAGAGAGGGTCACAAAGGGAAATATTATTGAAATCCCTAACAGGGTTTCCTATTCTTGCTTGTGCTGAGATACATCATAATGAGCTTTTCAAACTGGAGTCAGAATGGGAATCCAAAGCAAGATAGCAAGATATAAACATTTATCCCAGATATGAAAGTGTGAAGGCTGCTAGAAGAAAAGAACTGGCACTGGGTAAGTCTGGATAGCCTAAATGCAGAATTTGGTAAGCTTCATGTAGTAGACTGTTTCCTAGATTTCAGCAGAGAAAACAGCTCCTTTACCCTGAAGCTGTCAGCGTTCCTAAGGGTTTGAATTGGCTGATAATTGAAAAATGGAAGAATTCTCAAATACATTGAGGGCTGAAAGTTCTGACAGGTCTGGAGAGACTTGTCATCTTTTTGTCTTTTAGTATCAAACTGAAAATGAATTTCAGTGGAAAAAGTAGTCACTGAGAAGTTCAAGATAAGAGGACATTGAATTGGCTTCTGCCATAATCTGATCTGCAGCAGCCCAAATCTGTGTGCTTGCCAGCCACTCTGTGTTTATTTGAAATGCTAGTATGGTTCCTCTGCTGACAGTAAACACAAAGCAGGTTTAAACCCAGCCCAGTAGGTCTAAGGAAGATGTGACTACAGTAGATGTAGGTGTACTTAAATAATAGGATCTCTGCTACTTTTTAATTCAAGAACATTAAAGACAGAATTTATGTTTCACAGGTGGAAGTAAGAATACTTAAAATGTAAAAATGGGTTTATAATTTCTCTCTTCCAATTTCTGCTTTGATAGAGCAGATGTTACCCTTATTCCGCCTTTCATATTATAAAAGCAAAGATTGTAAAAGTTGTATTTATATTTGTCTATTAGTCATCTTAATAGAAAATAGAAAGTTACATCCATAACTGCATTTTGTGATATTACTCGACCTTATCTCAATAACTGATGATATTAATTAACAGTTTACAGTAAATCTTAGTGAAGATGAATAAACTTCAGGCATTCCACAAGCCATATTAAAGCTCATACTCTATTTGGGAAAATTTTATCTTTTGTTCCCACACCAGTTTGGGAATCATAACTAAATTTCATACACAGAACAAGATGGGCAATATGGAGAATTATATCAGCATCAACTCCAACTCCTGGCTCTATACGGCAAGAAAAATTAAACCATATTTCTGAGATAATTGTCCAAATACTTCTTGAACTCCAACAGGCTCGGTGCTGTGACTGCTTCCCCGGGGAGTCTGTCCCAGTGCCTGACCACTCTCTCGGTGAAGAACCTTTTCCTAACACCCAGCCTGAACCTCTTCTGACACAGCTTCATGTTGTTCCCTTGGGTCCCATCACTGGTCACCAGAGAGAAATATGGCAAGTTGCCAATTGGTGTGAACCCACCACACATCAGCTTTCTTTTCTCCAAGCTGAACAAACCAAACACTCTAGACCTTTCATCATCTTGTTTGACATGATCCTTTGGACACACACTAATAGTTTTACATCCTTCTCTAGTTCTAATGTCACCCAACACAGCACACAGAACTGGAGATGAGGCTCTACCAGTGCAAAGTGGAGTGGGACACTCCACTTCCCTCGACTGGCTAGCAGTGCTGTGCTTACGAGACTCTTTTGATCATGTAAAACACTGATGTGTTGACTCTCATTACACTGACAGGAACAAACCTGAACTCAGAAGGAGATCAGACTAAATTTGAACCCTTCCAGTTAAGAAACTTCAACCATGTGGTATAAAGTGAGACAAATCTAATGGTCTAGGCCATGCTAGAAATAACTTCTATAAAATAATTAGTGCTAAATCCAGTCACTGTGATTAAATTGGTCCACGAAGTAACATTCTTGCAATAATATGGCTGCTTGCATTTGTTAGGGCTTCATAACATACCATCTGCTCTTTTATATCCTTCTTTATAGCCCTGACTTTCAGAGAGATGGTAGTGATTACCTCACATCTTCATTATATAAAAAGAGCTGTTTGCTTGTTCAGTTTTCAGGAAAGAAAAAAAAAAAGTTTTTGTCAGTTTACTCATCAATTTGCTCATCTGTTTGTCCTATGCAACATGATGATTTCAAGTCTGCTGACACTGTTACCCAAGGGAGTATGATTCATGCAATAATTTTCCTTCCTTCCTGCCTATTTCTTTTAAATTTG